AATGAAATTGCAGCCGCCGCAAAGAGGCTAGCGTGCGCAAGATGCCGGAAGGAGGCAGGCCACCCACCCACTCTCTGGACCTGACCCGACATCAAGAGGTTCCAAGCCCGAAGCGCTGCAGGATACCCGGAAGCTTCGAGGAGATCTTGTCCCACCCTGACCCAACATCGAGGGGTTCGAACACCAAGCAGCTCCGAAGACGGACCATGCCTCAACAAAGGCACGCCGCAGAGCACTTAGCTACATGCGGCTTTTCTGGACTTGTGCTCGACTTCGCCGCCGGGCAGGCTCAGCGATGGCTCTCCTCTTGGGTTCGGGATGTCAAGCTTACTGGGCTTAGCGCATGCTGCATCATCAAGCAGCACTGCTTTCGGAAGGGTCCGAACTGGGGTCGTTATTGATCTGGATGATGATGATGGTGCTGACTCGTTAGAAGGCTGCCTTTCTGGACCTGAGAGACCTGAGGATTGCTGGCCTCGCATCTGTCCGTCTGCTTCCTGTTTCTACTTTTCTTTCTTGCGAGCTGCAGGCCCAAAGGGATTTGAGGTTGCAGTATTCCCTTTCAGCAGTTCAGCATCCATCTCCAAACTAGCATGAAAATTCGAAGCTGCACCAGACGGTCCTCCTTAAAGAGATTCTGTGGTGGACTAGACTTAGAGGACAGACCATAAGCCCTGAAGTCTCAACCCCGAGCGCCAGACCCGAAATCGCGTATCTTTGCATCGTGTAGGTCGAGTCGGGTGCTTCTACCGGCAGCAGCTCCGAAAAGGACCTGGCAACCAAGTTTGTGCAGGGACTGTGGGATAAACTTAGCAGGCCAAGGACCGTAGCAGTCCATCCGAGGCCCTCGAGTATAGCGCCCTGGACAAAATTCCAAACATGTTGTATGCGTTAAACGCAGCGTGGAGTCCTGCTCATGATCAGATTTGCTTTGTAGCCTGCGTGGAGCTTCTGGATTTTTGGCAGACTCTAGAGTTGTGACGAGTTTCCGACACCATTGTGCTCTCTTTCAGGCTCAGTGGGCTGTCTCACTTGCCATGAAAGCCGTTGCAGAAGCCAGTACGCCAAACTCGAAGCCCCGCAGGCCCAAGGCTTGCCAACCCGCGAAGCCAACAGCTTCAAGTTCTCGCTGAAGGATTGCTTGTAGGCTTCTGGGCCAGTGCCAACGAAGTTAGGACTGGTTGCGAGCAAGTCTGGCCGTGGATCTCGCGCCAGCAACAAAGATAACTTTTGGATAAGACAGGACGAAAGTGACAGCAGTGTCACGGCTGCAGACGTCTAAGAACCTGGCCCTATAGCCTTTTGCTAGTTCGAAACGCCGAAGCAGTTGCCAAAAGCTCAGCCATGGCGGACGATCTCGAGTACCAACGTGCCAGCTCCGATTCTGAGTCTCGGAACTGTCGTGCAGAAGTCGGCGATGCCGGAATCGCGCGGAAGCTGCTGCTATGCGGGCGACGTGGCCAGTTTCGGAGGATTTCGGGATCCAATTGCAAGTTTTGGCCTTTCGATTCTAGCTTTTCCAGGGTGCAGCAGTGGCGGATCTGTCGCATTGACCAAATTATACCAAATGCCAACGCAAAGCTTGCGCTTTGCGCGGCTTTCCCGCCCCGGCATTTCTGCAGCTCCCCGTGCTCCGATGCACACTTTGACGAACATCGCGTTCTTTCCCTGGTTCCGAGTTCATTGTGCAATCTCGTGTTTGGAGCTTTGAACCTTGATGCAGCGCACTCACATCATAGTCTTAGTGCCTATCAACGCCTGTCGCTTTGTGGTGTCGAAGCCATGCAGGCTCGGCAGTGTCTTCGCGCTCTTGGCCTTGAACGCCTCGCGGGCTGCTGGACCTGTGGAGGCCCCAAGGGCAAGGTGGCTTCGGGGTTTGAGGGAATCTTTTGCTATAGGGTTTTGGGGTTTAGGGCTCAGATGGTCTGGGGTTTGCTCTTCGGGGTTTCGGCTTTGGGATTCGGAGTTCGGGATTTGGGTTTGTTCGGTTTGGTGACGTTTCAAAAGGTTTAGTAGGCCTCAGACGGCTTCACAGAGTTTCGTGGGATGTTGCAGGCTTTACAGTCTTCAATGTCCCTTAATCAGGCTTTTATCCGGGCATGACGATTCTCCTCATACGGTGATATGAAATTTGGTCCATTTTGGGGCTTGAGGTTCGCGTTTGGACCTGAGGCCTCTGGCCTCGCGTTGTTGGATGTGGGTTCAACATGTTGAGTGTTTTCGGAATCCATGTCCGGGGTTAAGGAGGCGCCGATCTCTTCTTGAGATTTCGGCATGGCTTTTAGTGTTGAGGGCATGGAGTTCTTTCGCAAACAGGGCCTTTGATCAGCTGTTGGGGTGGCTTTTCAGGTCAAGAGATTTTGGGAGGCTTGTGGGAACAACAGATAATGCAAGGCGATGAGGTACTCGTGATCTGACTTCCTGCAGGTTTGCAAAGGCCCCTCCGTGGTGAGGTTGAGAACAGTACCCTGCACCTCAATGTTCCACCTTGGGCGCTTCGGCCAGGCGACTCTGATGTCCAGTGATTTGGAGCCGCTCGGTCAGGGAGGCACTGTAGGTCGGAGTTTCCCGGAGTTTTGGATTCGCTTTAAGCATTTCTCGGGTTTTTGGATGAGGATTCGGGATGTGGCGTTTGAACATCAGTGCGGCGTCTGCAGAGTTTGCAGGCTCAGAAACTCCATGTGGGGAATAGGATCTGCCAGGGTGGTCTAAGGGCTCCAGGCTTGAAGGTTAGCCTGAGGCATGGGGCAAAATTTCGTGATGCAGTGTGCAACCGGGCTCTAAGGGCTTTGGCTTCCTAGAAATGCGGTTCAATGGCATGGAGTCTCTGGGCCTCTGCACATGCTCCCATGCAACGAGACTCTCCGTTTGAAACATAGGGTTGCGCTGCCACCTGCTACCTCTTATGCCAAGAGCCAGACCCTAACATAGAGGTCGGAAATAATTGGAAATACCGTTCCCTTATAGTCCCGCCATAGCTCTAGTATACTGTACTATCATTTACTATGCCATATTACATCATACTCTACTATACTGTACGCGAAACCTTTTTCTGATCATAAAGGCCCCCGTATTCTCTTCATATCTTTAGGTGCACGTGCCGTTCTACTCTTGCACCCCCGCTGTTCTTTCTGATTTTACTGTTTCTTCGACTGAGAATCGAACGTTGTCAGCCTGCCGGTCCTTGAACTCTGAGCCCTTTGCCGAGAAGGAACCCACCTCGTTCGAATCTAATTAATTATATGCCACCTATAGACGGCTTCGTTGGATGAAAGTAGTTGGAGAAGCAGTGATAAGGCGGTACTGGTACCAGTAGACAGTAATGCGTGTGGAGATGGCTTCGATCGCATTCAGGATGTCCCTGGCCACGGTCAAGGTGATGATGATGGTGACGGGAATGATGGTCATGAGCATCAGTACCATTACTGCCAGCCTCATCTTCGTACGAGCGGGGGGGCGCAGAACTACCGGTACTTCGGCTCGGATTCCTTGAGCCTAGGAGGGACCCTCTTGGTGGGCCCGGATCGCCACTCTCCAAGCAGGCGGCGCAAACCGGGGATTCTGGGAAAGGCTTTCGAAGATCTCCGGCTAAGAGGAGCCTCAGGGGTTGGGCTTCGGGCTCTGGAGGAATTCGAAGCTAGAGTCTACAGTGTTTACAGCTTAGACCGTTGGGTGGAGGCCTTTCGGCATCTGGGCGTAAGTTCTTCAGAACGCAATCACAACTGCAACTCACAACGACCACAGCCAACACCAGGACGACGATGCCGACGCAGCCCAAGCTCTAAACCCCAGACAATTAGATTGCGCACCACGAGACTCTTAAACCCTCAACTGCCCCAGCCCGAGGCCTTTAAACTGTAGGGCCTATAATCGTCCTGAGCCTGGAGATGCAGGCTGACAGATGAAGCTTTGCCGTCCGGATAAACCGTTTACAAGTCTAACGGGAATTGTGAAGGTTGTCTTGGCCATGGACACCAACGTCAACCTCCATGTGGCCAGGGAGCCTAGTTTTGGTTCAGCCTCTGCCCGTGGTGAGTGCGCGGGGCATGTGTGTGCTTTGTTGCGGTCCAGCCTTGTCGGGCTGCTTTGGACTCACAACGATGTGGCTCCTGCAACATGATGGGCTGCTTCAGGAATTATCTTATCCTAACCTAAGAGCTTGAGTGTGGGGATTTCTAGTTTCGGAGTCGTACTACTGTATGCTGTTGGGCAGGAAGTGACTTAGTAAATCAGTCTGTCGGCTCATTATAATGCATGTGTGCTGTATCGGTAATAGGTGTCTCGTGGCTCCAAGTGTTCATGAACAAATAAAGGTTGACAGCTTCTGATGAACGGGTATGCTTGTGTACGGGGCGTGCAAGCAGACAGTTCGCCAGGTTTGCACACAGAGTCGGTAAGAGCACGGATAGGTATGTGGATGAGTTGGTCTAGACCTGCAGAAGACCGGCAGAATGCTCGCTGGATAGATAGATAAGTGGAAAGATGGAAAGGCAGAGAAAGTTAGATAGCTAGCTAGTAGATAAGCATCGATAGACAGATAGATAGGGTCGAGTAGATGTGGTGGATTGACCGACGCACAGTCGCAGTGGATAGGCATATATACATGCGCAGGTGCATGCAGATGTAGAGCCAGCTGCACCAGCACGAGCAGCAGAACTGGCGACTGTGTTGGTGGTCTGGTGGTGCTCTTCGTCGGCCGTTCTGGTAATAGAAGCAGCAGTAGCAGTAGCAGTAGCAGGAGCAGTAGCAGTAGCAGTAGCAGTCAACAGTCACTAGCCAGCAGTCAGCCGGTCGGCCACCAGCGGTAGCAGTACCACAGCAAGTACTGCTACTGCACAACTCCATGCTGTTGATGCTACCAGTACCGGGACTAGCAGACTGTCAGCATTGCGATAAGCAGTACTGGCCTTGTCATCTTTACGTGGAGCTGTCTGACACCCTCACAGATCCTAGCGTCCTAGCATGAGGCTTGGGATGACTGGCGAGACTGGTCCAAAAATATGGCCACATGCCTCAGATTGGTGTCGGGTTGCAAGATCGCAAGTTGCAGGGTTTCCACATCCTCTGCCGGAATATTCGGACTGGAGTCTCAGGTACTGAAGCTGGTTCTATAGAGCACCTTGATTCAAGCCTCCATGTCAACATCCTAAGCCCAGAGATTGCAGCGACATGGCTTTCTACGATCTTCACATTTTCATGGCATGGTGCATGTGCAAGTATGTGAGAGGACTTCGCTCAATGAGCTAGCTTGCCTAGCGTGTTCAGGCAGTCAAGGAAGAGCTCCACTCCAGAAACCTCTAATCCCAAACCCTCGGCCGGAACCCTGTCTAAAACAACTCCCCCAACGCATGTCCCGACCACTTCAAACTGCAGATGCTTAGCCGGAGTCCCGAAAACCACGAATCGCCTTCTTGGGCAGGCTCCGTACTGGACGGAAGATTTCATCTACGACTTTAACTATGTGCCATGCTCTTGAAGAGTTTGTGTTCGGGGTTCTGGTCAAAGCATGCGCGAGTCTCCTTCTACTTTGAAATCTGGGAAGGCAGTTTTTTGTTTAAACGTAGTCAACGTAGTCGCGGTTCCTTTGGCAGAAGCCGCGGGGGGCTTACATAAGCTGGCAATCGCTGGTGCACGCAGCCTACCCTCACCATTGACATGCCAAGTCCTTTGAGCCGCCAGCTCCTCACCAGAACGAACCCTTCATGCACAAGCCCGGTTGCCACCCTCGAATGGCTTCTCCAGCATAGCTGCCCAAAAGAAACACTGATTCAAAGAATCGCAAGCCCTTTGCTGTCAAGAGAAACTTTGTCATGGAGTGCAGCTTCTGGGCTCCTCTTTAGTCATTGCATTAAGTCTCCACTCTCCATATATTGAGGCCCCATCTGAGCGTGAGGCCCAAACCCCGAAGTCGGAGAGACCACGAGAGTTCTTCGAACCGCGCCCAACCCCTGGAGCCTGAAACTGTAAAGTCAGATCGGAGCCTTTCAAGTCGCAGACCCTGCCGTAGACCTTGTGAAATTTCCTGCTGATCCCGATCTTTCTTCGGGAACTCCCGGCGTGCGCATGCGCCGGAGTATTGGCGACTGCAAAGCATGCCGGTACAAACAGTACCTAGCGCCATCATCGCCCCCGACGCACAACTTTGAGCCCCGGCAACCTCTCATTTTTCAGGTCGGCCCTTGGAATTTCACGGCCACACGCGGGCTCCGAGCCTGGTTTGAGGGCCTCTCGTTGACAACGAGGGGCGTTTGCCGTTTATTGGGGATTTCGTGTTCCTGTGGCTTTGCCGGTTTTCGTGGTGATATGAAGGGGCCAGTGCTCCATACCTTGGCAAAGCTGGTGTTGAGTGCTCATTCCTCTCCAGTTGCTTCACCGGACTTCTTCTTGCTTGTAACTTCGACTTCATCGGAAGAGTGCTAGATGCTAGAAGAGTGAGCAAGGAAAGCTGAGCTGCAGCTCCATGGCATGGGACTTCGTATCCACTGTTTCTACTATGCACTACCGCTGTTACCACAGGCTGAACTTTGTCTTCTGAGGAAGTTGGATCGGTCAAACCGTGAAGCAATCCCCTGAATGCTAGTCTTGTAGGGTTTGTCCCAAATGTCTGCAGCTTGCGCCGCGCAGGTTTCCCTGCGCCTATGCGCAAAATCCATGTCCAGACACTCGAGAAAAAAGCGTCACGTCTGGCCGTCCAGCCCCGAAAAGCGGACCAAGGAGAGCACATGCACTTCAACCGTGCGATCCCCGACTCCCAATGGCAGGCAAGATCTCTTTTTTGTTGATGGCGGGCTCTTGAGAGGTTGGTGCAGATTGCGTTTAGGATACCTTCAGAAAGTCGGAGGCTCTAACTAGGACGGTGTCTCGGTGTGGTGTTGCGGTGTCAAGGGTTGCGAGAATGCTTCAGGGTTCCAGGCCTACATTAATGAAAGATGCTTCCTGGCAAGAGAGCTCCAAGGGTCTGTGCAAGGGCAGATCCTGGCTACGTGTAATGCAAGAGGCTCAGCACGCGGACGAGGGCCTCGTGGTGAATTGGTACAATACCAGAGTAGCAAGCCCGAAGGCTGCGTTGTCCGTGTGGGGCTCAACCCAGAATCAGGTTGCTTCACTCATCTATCTATCTATCTATACATATATATATATATATACATATGAATTGGTACAATTATGGTCTATGGTGTCTGGGGCAACTATGTTACTGATCATGCGTGCTGTTTTCATAGAGAGCTTGAGCCGGTGCTTTTGCGCGACAAGACTTACATCACTGTTCAGCCCCGACGGGGGTGGTGTGATTTCTGGAATCGGGTTCCAGTCAATGTATCATGCATGACTCAGATGAAACTCACTGGGCCAAAATCCTGCGCAATCTGAGACTCTACATATGCATCGAGTATGATTCCTTCGTGAGGTGGCTGCAGCCTTCATCACAGTGCAAACCTCCTATACACACAGCGAGGGCACCTGTTTATCTTGAGGTTCCTGAAGCGAAGCGCTGACATCTAAGTCCGATGGTTGTTGGGTGGCTGAGCAAGCCATGCCCTGGAAGGACTTCATCCGCGCAGCTCGGGGGCCTCTCGTGACCTCTGCTCCTCTTTGCAGTTTAAGGGTGCTCTGATGCTCGGGGTGGTCCGGGGTCCTGTCCAAAGCCAAGAATGGCTGGTGCCAAAACCCAATACTTCACCCTCACCTCCACCTCAAGGCATTGATCTTCCTTCGTGCGTAGTGAAGGTGGGAGACTGCCCGTCCCGCCGACCCAACGCCTGCAGACTCATCCTTGCAAGAGCACCTCAAGGCTCAATGAGCCAGTCCAGGCTTCATACGGCTTGGCGCGCTGGACGGCCGAGTTCGCCGGTGTCTTGACAGTGTGCGTAAGTTGCCTGCCCGGTGACCCTACCAAACGCCCAGAATAGACCGTTTGTGTTGGAGTGTTAGCACAATCATGCCCGATGTGTGATTCGTTAGAAGTTCTCTGGAGCCGTATCAAATCGTTGATACCATGGTCAAAAACAAACATTCGACTGTTAACGCGAGACCCATGCATGTGCGGGGAGTTAAAGCCAAAAGGGTAACACGTGAGTTTGTAAGAGTTCGCAAGTTCGCAAGGGTTTTAGGTCCTTCCACCAAGGTGTTCCGCCGCCGGCGGAGAATCCAATTGTGCGCATCCGCGATCTTGACTTCTACCTGCTCGAGGAATCCCGGATCAAGATCAACTGGTGCTTGATCGACGTGGTGCACCTTTTCGAGCAAGTGGGCTACGACATCTTGCCCAAAGCTCCAATGAGGACTGATGGCTACGGGTACCGTGCTCCCCATGCCATGGACGGACTTACCGCTCCCCTGAGCTTCCTCTATTCCGAGAAAGATGCGCTCGAGTCCGAGCGGGTCTGGAAGACGGCCCTGGAAGAAGACTATGACAGAGCTGATGTAGCTGTGTCCTTGTTGTGGGCCGAGAACTTGATCTGGTACGGCCCGGGTGGCATTGGCACAGCCTCCTCGCGTGAGGAGTACCGGAAGAATTGGCTGGCGCCTCTCCGCGCCGCCTTCTCGAACCTTACACGTGAGACGGACCTAGTGATCTGCGAAGGTCCATACTGCGGGGCGCACTTCTACCTTTGGGGGTATCACACAGGCACCTGGCTGGGTGAGCAGGCTACCGGACGGCGTGTGCCCATCCGCTGCGGTGCGCATGCGCATGTGGTGGGGGGCCGAATCATCGAGGGTTGCTGGGCTGAAGATTGGGATTCGCCTGTGATTTCGGATGTGGGCTTCGGGGTGTCGTGTCCGTGTCTTGCACAAGAGGAGCTGAGTGTATCGAATTTAAGTGCTGCAGGTTGGATGATCATCGACATCCCGCGGGCCTTTGAGGCAATGGGAGTGGACCTCTATGGCCGCGCCAGGCGCATCGCGCTTGCGCCGCGCGAGGCTTGAACCGCGCATTCGGTAAAAAAGCCATCGACATGCGCAAAGTCTGAGTTCCTCAAGCCTTTTTTCCCAAAGCCCGCACACTTCCTAAGCCCATCTCAGATATGGTTTAGGTTTTAATTTTAGTCTCAAGAGGACTGGCTTCTTGAGACCGTTCTCTCCGAGGCCTCGGAGGGGATTTAGGGAAGCTTCTCAGAATCCTGTAGGGATTTGGGTTTAAGGGTTTAGGGTTTGGGTTTAGTGGCTTCTCTGCGGATTTCGCCGAAACTGGTGGGGGTGTGCGTCCACGCGGGAGTACATACACGCTTCAGAGACTTTGGTGAGGGCTCGCGGTGTAAGGCTCATGTCGAGCAAGCTGCTATCTACGGTTCAGGTCCTTGTGCAGCCCTTAGTGGAGTCGAAAATCATAGAAGCATCCTTGTTCGGGGCAGTACTTGCAGCGCCGAGGCGGAATAACAGCAGAAGAAGAGGATAGACACCACGGTTTTTAAAAGATCCGGAAGCAGCGAGCCACGAGCCTTGCGAGGTGGAGGCATCCGTGGCATTCTTGCGCCAGCAGGCAGAAGTTATGCTAAGGTTTCGGGTCTTGCAGGGTCTTGGAATTGCTGTCTTGGGGTTTTCGAGACCGGGGCTTAACCAGAGCGCTTTGGGTCAGGTTGCGGGTTGATGGAAGCCTTTCCAGGACCCTCTAGGAGCTATCCGTGGCTGCTAGCTTATGCAGGCCTCACACTTGATCTCATACATCGTAGAGAAATCATGTCCAGAGGACTTGCCCCCAAGGCTTGGTTTGCCTCAGAGCTCAGGATGCATACTGTGATGGTAATCGGTGGGGGGGTTGTGTGACTGGTTTGGTGCTTAGGCTTAGGCTGAGACACCGAACATACCCGAGTGGCCTCCAGTGCTGCAGATACACTCGCGAAGCCCTGTAACTCCAGTACCCCACTGAATCCCTAAGTCCTGCATCCCGAGCCTCAAATCACAAGCAAAAAAACTTTAACACGAAGCCTGTAGCCCTATCCTCGTGACCCGAATCCCACGCGCCAACTCCCTCAACCCCAAAACGCCTACAACCCTCGGCCCTTAACCCTAACCGGAACACGTCACCCGAAGGGCTGCAACCGCTTCGGCCTGGTCGGCTTCGGCCCACGAGGGGGTCGGGTTCCCGCCTCCTTCGGGTACCGTGCGCTTTCAAGGGCCTTCTGGTTCATTGGCATTGTTTGGGCTTCAGTTTTTGGCTTTTGAGAGCCGGAGGTATCGTTGAACATTTCAGGGTCTTCGGCTTAGAAATAGACGAGCTTGCGCCCAGAACCCAAGACGCAGAGCAGGGGAGGTGAGGTGCCCGGCGCCGTTTGGGCTCAGAAGCATCGCTTGGCGGCCTGCGACGTCTGGAAGGCCGGAATTCCAAAGATGAATGTTGGAAGCCAGCCGTTTCGTCCAAGCCGTGATGAACCTGAACAGCTCAAATCCGAAAACCTTTCACAACGCTTCGTGGATCGGGGCTATGCAAAAGTATGAATGTGAGGGGTACGCTCCCCCAATCCTCCGAGTGGAGCAACTCCCTCAAGGTGAGGATCCTCCTGGGGCCGATCGGATGGTCAAGAAGGCAGGACGATAGTAATAATCGTGGCAATGGGAGGAACATAAGCAGCCAACGCTGTGCATCTGTTCCTCGTAGCAGCACTGGTGGTGGCGTAGGTGGTAGTCGTAGTAGTGGTAGCGGAGGTAGTGGTCGTAATGGTAGATGTGCTTGTAATGATAGTAGTGGTAGGAGTCATAGTTGTGGTAGAGTGGTAGTGGTGGTAGTGGAGTGGAAATGGTGGTAGTGGCAGTGGCAGTGGTGATACTACTGCTAGTGCAGCTACTGCTAGCGGAGCGGTAGTGGTAGTGGTACGTAGTGATAGCACTTCTACAAACTAGTAAGAACGATAGTTACGATGAGAGTAGCAGAGGTAGTATGCTTGCAACAGTGATAGATGTAGATATAATATAGTGTATATATATATATAAACACATACGTACGTACATCTGTACGTACGTACATACGTACATATGTATACAGATGTTTGCATGTACAAGATGTAATTCTGCACACAAATATGTTCATGTGCTGTCACCAATGTGCTTGACCACCCCGAGACGGCGCTGAAGCGCCCAGCGGGCGCCGCAAGCACCGCGGCCGCGCCGGCCGCGACGAAGTTCACACCACAGGGGACGAAGGTGGATCGTGAAAAAGCGGGCGTTTTTTGGGGATCTAAGGAGATCAGTTTCCGTCTTCAATGCTCTAATCCTCTCAGGTTGAATGGCGTTTCACGAGCTTTCTTGCTACTGGTAGCTGGGCACGAGCAATCTTTCAGCACAGCTTGGTTAGGGGCTGTGGGCTTGGCGAGCTTCTCGGTCTCCTCACACAGTTGTGTAGAGGCACGCGGCAACTTCGTAAGGACATCGCAACTGCGAAATGACTTCAGGGGTAGTTCCTTCAAGCGCACCAGTCTACCTTTGTCATGCAACTTCTCACACGAGAGGCGGCTATGCTCCTGTATTGAGACCAGTTGCAGCCTCACCAATTCAGCACTTCAATTCCGCACCGGGGGAGAGAGGGAGAGTGTAGGGGGTAACCTCTACACCTTAACCCCGGCGAAAGAAAGAGAGCAAAGCAAAGAGAGCGAGAGAGAGAGACAGAGTGAAAGGAAGGATAGAGAGAACAACGATAGAGGCAGAGAAGGTAAGAGAAAGAAGGGGAGAGAGAGAGAGAGAGAGAGAGGAAGCAAGAGAGAGAGATAAGCTTACGACGGGACGACAACGTGCAAGCACGAGCACGACACAGAGAGAGAGAGAGAGAGAGAGAGCGAGATAGAGTAGCCATTTTGGCTCAAGTCATCGGCCACGTCTTCCTTCGGGGGTTCCTGCTTGGAGGATCGCTCTGTTTATAAGTAATTGATGCATTTGCATCAGTTATGCTCTGGTTACTAAGTAACTTATTAAGTACAGTAACTTGAGTTATAAGTTCAGTAACCACACCTCCAAGTGCTTTAAGTGGACCATAAGTCCGACGATGTTTTGTTGTTGATTTATAATTACTTAAACATTAGTGTATTTAAGTTGTAGTTGTGGTAACCAGATACTGGACTTACGTTGTACTTAAGGCGCTTATAAAACAACCTGAACAACTGAGTTGTGATCGACTTCGTGTCAACTTATAACTCAGTTATAATTAGGGGCTAAGTAGGACATAAGTCCAGCGACGGGGCCTCCGAGTAAGTAGGCTAAGTGGGTCAGCTTCTAAGTCCGCTAAGTGGGTTCCGGATAAGTCCGATAAGTAGGATCCGCGGCGTGTCTGGCTAAGTCCGATAAGTAGGATGGTCGGCAGTTCAATATATACGTATGTAATAGTTTAGAAATGTATATATATATATATTGCCTGATCATATTTATGTATGCATATGTGTATATATATGTATATTGTAGAAAAATGTATGACATTTTTGGTTGCATATATATATATATATGCATGCATGGATGTATGCATTTTTGCACGTATGTATTTTTGTATGTATGTATGTATGTATGTATGTTTGCATTTTCCAGACAAGAAACAACACTTGGTCGGTGCGAGAGCATGTATTGTCACATATATCATGCATATATTCACAGAAACACCAAAGCCAAATAGACCCCATACCAAATGGCATCAGGAAGGTGTTGGCGCGATGTGACCTCTGCCCATGCAGTGTGATGAATGTCAAAGGGATGAAATTCAAACTTGGGAAAACGGCGGGAGTATAACTATGACTCTCTTGTACAAGGAAGCCCCATTAATGCCTCGTCATATAATTAGAGATGCTCCCCTCCAAGCCCATGCATGTGTGGCTGCGGCCGCAACATCTTCGAGCCCCTGCTTGAGGCGGGGGGGGGGTCGAATTGTTTGGGCGGGGTTTGTTTTGGAAGATTCGCTTGCTTTGGGAAAAATAGTGGATTGCTGCCGGGATCTTTATAGAGTCTTGAAGGTTTTGAAGGTGTTGGGCTGCGGCGCTTTGTTTCAAGGAGGCTTATATAGGCTACATGGTATATAGTTAAAGCACATATTAGGTTATTCAAACAGGCTCTAGGTTTGTCGAAATAAAGCCTTAACAAAAAACGTTCAGTTCCTGGGTGCGAAGGCCCAAACAGTATAGGCTTTGAAATACACAGCAGGGTTCAGGCTGGGTGTAAATATGGTATACACAGAGGTGACCGAGAACATATTGTTTCAGCTATCTTATCTTCCTACATATAGGCCCCCACACACAAAGGTCGTTTTGGATTCCTGGACATCGTATGTAGACTTTGTAGTAAAAACCGTCTATATATTTGGGCATGAGCAGTTGTTGTTTGAGCCATACTTCGCTTATACCACTGAACCTCATTACTTGAGTATAAGTAGAAAACACTGTAAACAATCTTCCAGGCTATAAAGCTGCCGAAAACAACTGTAAGGGAGTTTCGGGATCTATAAGGATGAGAGTTTCGGGGTTGGGGTTAAGGTGTCGGGGTTTGGGGAGTGAGTTCGAGTACATAAGTGAATTCTAAACAGGGCTCCTGAATTATGGGTGTATGCATTGGTCACCGCATGCAAAGAGGCTGATGCCGTGGTTCTCTGTGTTCGAGATGTATATCTTAAAGGGATGTATATGAGGCATGGAGAGTGCAAGTTGAGTAAGCTCAAATCGGGTTGCGATTTGTTTTGGCTTGGTCTGTGATGTTTGGGCTCCTATGTGTTTCGTTCTTGGAAGCATATGGGTGACGGGAGGGTTTATGTAGGTTTTACACAAACACTGTTGATATTGAAATTCAAGCTCGGGTTCCAGGATTCAAGGGACTGGGTTGGCAACCCAACGGAGGCACATACAACGCATGCGATTCTGCCGTGTATACACACGCGCAACCCCATGAACCATTAGCAATATATCCTTAGACCCGAAATGCAAGGCAAGATAAAATATCTTGCCCAGGAAGCAAGCATTTCGGTG